TATTCAATGGAAACGTCAGTCCAACTCATATCATTTGTGGGAAAATTCTACTTCTACCAGTCGTTCATCACCTTAAACGAAATTGGGTGAATACATCTTATAACTGATTTACTGGTAGTCACGAAAAACAATACCTAAACGAAATTGGGTGAATACATCTTATAACTGATTTACTGGTAGTCACGAAAAACAATACTTAATTCGATATTGGGTGAATACATCTTATAACTGATTTACTGTTAGTCACGAAAAACAATACTTAATTCGAAAAATAAAACTTTGTGTTTCCTGTCATAGAATGGTGTATGATGGAAATCGGGCATAGACCGAATGTCGGATAGCCTAAACTTGCCGGCCTCTATTTGTGCGCACAGGGACACATGACCTGTCCGAGATGGATCTGGTGCCGGAGAGGAAAACAAGATAGGACTGAATAAATTGTAGCATTTTGAAGCGTCCGGTTCATACCTCTGCTTCACTATAGCATTGCTTACGCAACTTTCTACATCCAAGATATGAAGACCAAGATGGCGTGGCCTTTTGTGTGGTTGCAGTCTCCTTTCGTTGTATAGAAGTTGTTTGACCTTGTGTTCGCAACTTGGTCACAATGGTAGGAAGACTGATAGAAGAAACGCACCTTGTCCTGAATCCATTGTATGCATAATTATTTCCAGAGTCGAACCGTGGACGTGGTACATTCCGAGACGTTTCGCCGGCATCGTCAGTGAGTTTTAGCATTCGTCTCTTTGACGAGTTGTAATATGGTGCTACGAATGGTAAAACTCACTGATGATGCCGGCGAAACGTCTCGAATGTACCGCGTCCACGGTCCGACTCTGGAAATAATTATGCATACAATGGACTCAGGACAAAGTGCGTTTCTATCAGTCTTCCTACCATTATGACCAAGTTGCGAAAACAAGGTCAAACAATTTCTAAATCCAGTTGGCCAAAACTGATGTCAGAATTGGTTTGATCACATTTCGCAAATCAGTCGTAACGTCAACACGATCTTGAAAAGTGCACACAGTCCAGCGTGGCCTTGGAAACGAAGAAGGAGCATGATGGCGAGGCAAGTAAAGTCCATTCATTAACCAACTTTCTGTTGAACAATTGTGGTCTACCCATTTCTGTCCCGGAACATCCACCTATCCACATCCTCGTATCCCCGCCTTCGCCAGCACATCTTGTAACTTGAGTATTTTCACCTACTTCATGGATGCGCCCATTTAAGCAAATTTAGTAAAGTTGAATCACACTTTCTGATGGTCGCCTCTTTCAAACTCATCCATTACCCAAAACACCCCCACTCCCTTACTTAATCTACTCAAAGTGACACACCTCTTGAATACGGAAAAAATAAGCAAGTTACAAGTTGTCGAGACTGGCAAGACTCACTGAAAGAACCGACAACACTGCCAGAGCTACGACTGGAAATGTACCAAGTCTATAATCATGTGCTAAATATTATCATGACTTTTATGCCAGTGACCTCCAGACCAAGTACGTTCGTCTTGATAGCCGTCACAACGCGACAAAGTTGCTAAAAATAAGGTTACTTTAGGTATGTAGAAAAACTGTGCTTGGATTGAGGCTGGAGTACCTTTCATTTCGTTTGAAGAGGCGAGTGGAAGAGATTCGTAAGTTGGTTCTACCGGAAGCTGTAGGGGTATTGTCTTGGAGCTGGGATTGCGGATTTGTGCGAATAGGTCCTCGGCACTCCGCCCTGCGACCTCGATGAACCCTTGCTGAGCTTTCGTCCGTCATGTGACAGTCATCGTCAGAGCTTTACGATAATTCACCAAAACACGAAGGCAAGACATGTGGCCGTCTTCAAACCTACCCACTTCTTAAGGTCCAAATTGGTCCACTGACGTAAGCATTTCATGTTTTGCTTAAATATTTGCTCAAAAGTTAAGTGCCTGCGGATGACATGTGAAGTAGTTTAGTCAAACTGAATGGCATCAAAAGGCCTGCTCATATTTCGGTCAGCTTAAAGTAACATTATTTTTCAGAACTTGATCGAGTTCTCAGGGCGGAGTGGAGAAAAGCATCTTGTCAGGATCCATGGCAATTATTATAATATGGAATCTAAATATAATCAAGAATATAATTATTCTACTACGAATACATACTACTAATACTACTACTAGTAGTAAAAAATAATAATATTCATGAGCCAGCCTCGAAACGTGAACTTGTGATATTTTCACAAGTCTCTGGAATCTCAATCAGAACCCCCAGTAAATCGTGCCAGTCTTAGCACTGAATCAAGTTAAATTCATCCCTTGACCAACTTCTGTCCCTGCTCATTCATCTATCCCACATCCTCGTATCTTCCCCTTCAGATTGAAAACGTCTAGCTTAAGCGTTTTCATCTACTCCAGAGGCAGAAGAAAGGCTAAGTGAAATTCATTGAAAGCATGAAGATTAAAACTAGCACTTTTTAATCGTTTAACATAAACTATAGTAAGTAGAACTTCTTCAAAATGTATTAGTTATAGAATCCAGAATAGGAGATGTACAAGGCTCTATTTAATGAAGACTATTTTGGGATACAACTTGTGGGACGGCTCACCTGGTAGTCTCGTCTAAGCCAGCCAGAAAGTAGTAGAAAACGTGGAATGTCGGCTCGCCCTCTGGACGACGGGTAACACGACTCCGTTCCAGCATCAGCAGCTGAGTCGTCAAGCCGCAGACAGCCAGACGACGACAACGCTGCCGATCCTGCCGATTCGTGGACGTGTAACTGGAAGACGAGTGGCCACCAGTTGCCATGGGAGCAGAAACGGATGTCTCCTCTCGGCTGGCATTCGGACCAGCAGCGTCGGTGGTGCTGCTGACGACGGTGAACTCAAGAGAATGTAACCGAATCGCCCGACTGGCGTTTACATTGAGCAGTGTTCGAGTACAGGTGAAAGCATCGAGAATGGTGTTCATCGCTTGTATTGCTGTGTCTGAGGAAAGTGGGGCAGATTGGTAGGTGGAGGGGAGGAAAGAACAAAATCTGATATGATTGCGATCATCCAAATATGGTAGTGGCTTCAGTTCTCTTTTGCCTTGGCGAAATGCAGCCTGACGCTACCGAAAAGCGTCAAGAATCAAGTAGAAAGAGACCAAAGGCAGAAGAAAGTAGTAAGGACCGTATTTTCCCAACTGGAAAAGAGTTGAATATTCCAACAATAATGCAAAGCTTATTCAATCTCTATGAAAGAAACTAATTCTAGAGGAAAAGAAAAACAATAATAAGGTATAAAAAAGTAAAAGTATATGAAAATAGAAAGTAAAACTGGGTTTTAAAGAATTACTTAGTCATATGCTGTGACATGACTTTCCATTTCGAAGGAAAAGTTATTTAAAAAGAATTAGTGATGTGGTCTCATTGGATACCAAAAAGACATTGCTGCAGAGTGAAGATTGTCGGATTGTGAGAAGAAATCCTCGGCTCAGTGTCCTGCAATCCCGATTAGCCCGTGCTAAGCTTTCGTTTGTACCTTCGTGGTAGACATAATCAAGGTAAAAATACATACTTTACATAATAGTAAAAAGAAAAAAGTGGCCGGCTACAACCCTGATCAGTTTTATGCGCCAAACTTAGAGATCTTAATAAGTCATCCCATGATTTTAGCTAATAAGTGCATGACTCAATAAGAAGTTAGTGATTTTTAAAAGGCATTCCTAGTTCCGAAGCTATTATTTCGTAATATGGACAATCACTTTGTTGTCTGGTAACACGGCAAAGATAGATTAATTGTTGAGCTTACATGCATTTCAAGTGAAAGTGTTTGGTGAATAGATTCGAATGTAGATAGATTAGGTGAATTCCTTGGGATAATACTTAGACTAGCTGTCAATACTAACTTACAATGGAGTTAGAAAAGGAAAATAAATTACCATATTTGGTTGTTTAGGTGAGAAAGAAGGTAATAGGTTAGGTAAAGACGTGTATAGGAAACCCATATAGGCAGGTTTCTCTGTAAATTTCTGCCTAAATCATACGAATGGAATTAGAGTAGGAATTATGAAATCGATGATAATAAGTAGTCTGTATGTAGCAGATGTAAACCACAGGGACCGTAAGATCGGTAGATTGATGGCACTGGAAAAGTGCAAAATGAACGCAATTCGTCAGCAAAATACTAGGCTTCCAAGAGCATATTGTCTGCCTAACATTCATAAGGAAAGTACCCCAATTAGGAATTTTGCAAATTATAGAGATGGTGTGATGCATAAAACATCACGATTTATTTATATTCAGCTAAATCAAATCTCCGAAACTCAAAAGTTTGCGCTAAACAATTGTTACGACTTTATAAAGTTAGTTGATTATCGGCCGATAGGAAGAGGAGATTTGCTGGTAAGTTTCGATGTAATGTCTATGTACGCTAATATTGGTAAGCTGTATGCTCAAATACGAGGCTTGCCTATAGGATTTTGTTTAGGACATATTTTTTTTAATAACGGCATAGGCCAATAGAAAGTTCGTGTTTTTCAAGAGGC